CAGCACGAGGTAGCACCCGAGACCAGAGCCTATCCCCGGGGACAGGGCTGGAGGGGACCACCAGCCCCCCTGCCCCTCGCCGTGCCCTGGGTCTCGGTGCAGGCAGTACCGCACTCGCTCCTGTGCTTCCAGCGGTTGGCAGAAAATGGAAAGAGACCGAGAATTCGCGGCTGTCCCTCCTCCCGCGCCACCACTTTTCTTCACGCCCCAGCTGCCTCGGTCCATGGGCTCCCTCCAGCCCACAGAGCTGGTCCAGAGCCAGCCCCGGCCCAGGGCTGGCAAAGCAGCCCCCCGGGGAGCCGCCGCTCACGCTCCTGCCCCGAGTCTCTGTCCTGGCGTCTGGATGGGAAGTAGCACTTGTGACACACACAGCAACGGGAACAGCAGCAGTCATGTCAGCGTGAAGCGAACATGGCATTGCTTACAAGGTGCAGCAGCAAGGTGTGCTGGGGGCCGCCCCGCACAGAGCCTAGATGATATCCGTCTCCCTCTCTATGCCAACGTACTTCAGGGCGTCTGCCTGGCTGTACCTACAAGACAGGAGAGTCGCGGCTGCCGCAATGGCCTCCTGCACTCCCCACAAACATGTGCACAGAAAGCGGGGTGAACCCTGCACCCGTCCCCCGCCGGCTGCTCCCCGCGGTACCTGTAATCAAAGAAGAGCTCCTCTCCCGCCTGGATGGCCCTCTTGGCAAAGATCCCTATCCGGTGGTCTCCATTGACCATCACAACTGCAAACAGAGAGCACACATCAGAGACATGCAGCTCCTGCTCAGGCCAGGAGGTCTCACAGCACTTTTGCCCTGCTTGGCCACCTGCCGGTCCCCAGGGCCACCATACCCGAGCTCCTGCCCACCAGGAACGGGCGCTCTCCGGGGAGCTCCCAGTCGCCCGCTAGCAGCGATCCCTCCTCCGAGGCCAGGGCCACCGCAGAGCTGAGCGGGGCCCTCACCAGCAGGAACGTGGACTTTGTCCAGGTCTTTGAAGTTCTGCTGCTCCCACAGGCTCAGGGCGACCGGGGACCCCGGAGAACCCACTGCAACCCGGGAGCTGAGCCGGACCCAGAGAACCTTCCCCCGCCTCGGTCTGACTGGGCAAGGATACCTCACCTTTGGCATAGCAGTTGGGGTTCACCGAGTGATTGGCAAAGCGGATTTTATTTCCTTTGCGGGTGGCATCAACAACAAAATCTATTAAGATAAAAAAAAAGAAGAAAACTGTAATGTCAAGACAGGCGTGCCGCTCAGGCGACAGGCAGGCCGAGGCTGCCCGCCCGGCCACCAGCCCCCTGCCAGGAAGCCCAAGTCCCCTCCAGCCCCCGATGCCCCAGGCGAGTTACCGTTGTTGAGGTTGAAGAGGAAGCTGGACATGTACTTGTCATAGACCTTCCCTCGCCGGTCAGCCTCGTCCTGCGAAATGAGCTGGAGAAGGAGAACGCCTTCAGAGACCGCACGCCTGAGGGCGCAGCGAGGATAACTGCGAGGAGCAGCGCTCACCACCTCCTGGGGACACCCCCATCCTCCCACCCCACAGGCAGGAGTCACCAGGGCTCCCGGGAGGGAGCAAGGACAAGAGCTGGACTCCCAGGGAGCAGCACATACACAACACACTCCTCCGCGGTGGAGGGCCTGAGGGCACTGAGATGAGTCCCCAAATGCTGCAAGATCCAATCTCTGCACCCGGTCAGAGGGAGCCCATGGCCACGGCCGAGCTGGGGGCGGCACACTGTCCCCACTGGAGCAGCAGCCGAAGGAAGCACTGCCAAGGAACGCAGCCCACCGAGCCGGCGGCACCGCAGCCCCAGCGCGGGCAGAAGCACTGACCTCACCACAGTACTCGGAGATGAACTCGTTCTTCTGCACAGATTCCTTGATGAAAGTCCCCCAGCCGGCGACATCCGATGGTGCCAGCAACAAATGCTGGAGCCAAGGCGAAAAGGAAACGGTTACGGTCAGCAGGCCCACCACCTCCCAGCACACAGAGATTACCCCCGTGCATCAGGCACACCAGAAAGCAACAGAGGAGAGCTCTCCACCTCCGGCACGGTTGCACGCGCCGGGGTTAGGGCAGTGCCCAGGAACAGCCGTGCCATGCTGGCTGCCACGCTCCCAGTCCCAACATCTTGGGGACGAGTAACTCCAAGGACCAAAGGGAGACGGTGTCTATCCAGCATCCCCTGGTTCAAGGTGACACACAGCTCCCTGCAGACTTACAGGTCGTAGCACCATTAGGCTGGAGCTGCACATTACTCGACTAACTTGCACCTTTCTCTGAATTTTGGTCTTTTTTTACATGTAGTCCCTCGCCCTGACCAGCAGAATTCAAGACCTAACCTTTCTCTGGGGTCACTTTTTACACTCCCTTGCTCTCACCCTTCCTCACGTAACTCATGTCCCAATTTTCACATCCATAATCCACACTCCCAATTAAGTGCTACAGAAGCCTGGGGCAGAGCAGCTTCTCTTTGACCTCCTCACTCAGAGAGCTGCGGGTGGCTCGCACACCCCCTCCCACGCAGCAGGGCCTCTGTTCATCAGCTCTGCCCCGAGGCAGCCCTCTGCCACCCGTCCAGAGCCACGCTGCCGTCAATACCTTTTTGAGACCTCGCTGGATGCTGCAGTTCTTGCAGGAGACCACCTTGCAGTCCCAGTGCTCCGAAGCCCCGCAGGTCAGGCAGAGGTCCGGATCGCATTCCCGCACGGCCAGGTAGCACGGGCACTGCTTGGTATTGCACTGGGTTTTACAGCGGCAGCCTGGGAAGCGGTTCTGACCTGCAGCAACACAGCCCACGGTTTTGCACCATGAGGTTTTTCAGCCCCGCAGGAAGCAAATCACAGAAACACTCTGGGTGCACAGGAGCTTCGAGCAGCGCGCACCCCGAGCACAGCACAGACCACGTATGGGATCCTTCCCAGCGTGGCTGGAGATGCTGATCTGCCTCTTGGCACTAATTATGTGCAGTTTGAAAATAAACAGCTCAGATAATGTAACAGACCAGTACAGAGAATCTCGGAGCCTGAGCTCGTTCCCTGTCACCCTGTAGTCCTGCCAGCCCCAGGCTGTGTCATGACCCTTAACAAATCCACCCTCAGAAGCCCCACTGTTGTGGGCAAGTGCGGTTATCTCCATTGCAGAGCTGGGAATGGAAGCCCAGAGAGGAAAAATAACCATGCCAGAGCCATGACCCAACTCCCACCCTAACCGCTGGCCACACATCCTGCTCTCAGGGAACCAGCAGCATCACCCACGGGTTGTTGACGCTGGGTACAGACACGAGCCTGAGCATTCTCTAACAAGAGTATGAGTCTCAGCTGCTGAGAGTCACGGGGCAGCATGGAACAGTTTCCCTTTGGACTTTAGCAGACTGCTAATCAAACTGCCGCAGATGGACAGAGCAGCGAACGCAGGAATAAATAACTCAGGCCTGCAGCAAGCCCCAGCTCTGCACCCTCCCTCCGGTCTGTGTCAGGAGAGCTGGCCGCTCTCCTGCCCGATAGTCCCAGGTTTCTCCTTACAGTCAGGGTTGCACTGGCAGAACTTCTCACAGAAATTCTGAGTCATGATGCAAGGGCAGGAGCTGTCACAGGGATGCTCGGGGTGGTCACAGGGCTGGTAGTTGTACACCTGGGTAGGAGAATTATCTAGAACAAGAGGAGAAATGCCTGGATTAGAAGCTGCACATTGCAGAAACATTTAAAGGCAGCACGCCCAGGGCTCTGGAGCGGGGAAGGTGCCAGCTCCCAGTTTGCCTGCAGAGGGCAGGGAGCCCAGCAGCACGCAGCGCAGAGCTCAGGCAGACATGCTGCGGTTACCGACCCATGGCACACGTCTGCTCTGCCCCGATGAGCCCATTCTATGGCGGGGCCGCACGCCAAACCTCAGCCTCCCCTCTGGCTGGAGCAAGACTGCACCGCACGGACAGCCTCAGTGAGAGCGCTGGCACGGCGGCAATCCCCACGGCACGGCCGCAGCGGGGCCAGCCCGCGGCACCCCGAGGAGCGCGGCTGAGGGGTGCTGCTCCCCCTCTGCGCTGCCGCAGCTGCGGGGCTGGAGAGCAGGACGCGGCCGTCCCGGGGAACACGATCCCGCGAGTGAGCGGCCCCGCAAACCTCGTGTGACACAGCCACAGCAAACGCTACCTTTCTTCAGCTGGATCTTCCTGCAGTGCGCAGCCCACAGCCTGGAAGAGAAGCAGAGAGGGTCTGAGGGGGCGCGTGAGCCTCCATTGGGAAGAGCCGGCCATGACTGCTCGGCACCGCCAGCCAGCGCGGCGGGGGGAGACTCTGGCGAGGCTGTCTGGCAGCTTCATGCATTAATAACCATCAGCTAGCCGTAAAATGGAGAAAGATGAGAACAACGCAGCTGCAGTATTTGTTATTTAAGGCAAATGTTAGAGCCAGAATAACACTGGACACACTGGGACCAGCGCACAAGAAGCAGGTTGTAGGTCAGGGAGCTGAGGCTACGGCTGGAACAGCGGTACGGCCGTCCCCACCGCAGCCAGGCACCCAGCTGTCCTCCCCTCGGGGCCGAGCCCGGGGCTGCCGAGCCCCCGGCCAGAGCAGCAGGGCTGGAGAGAGCCCGGGGGCCAGTGCCAGCCATCAGCGCCATCAGCCCTGCGCGACAGCGGGACGTGTGTGCAGATGGGAGCCAGATGGGGATTACCAGGAATGCGTTGGCACAAAAAGCAGTGGATCTGGTTGCATTTTAAGAACAAAACAAGCTTGTCCAACACTTGCCTGTGCTTCCTTTTCTTCTTCTGGGATGGATTCATTAATTCATTTGTTGGCAGTTTTGTTATAAGTGATTCTTTCACTGCAAACTGAAAGACCTACCAAAGAAGAGAGGCAAAAAGAAGAATAAAGTTCAGTGTGCTCAAGCTGTTTTTATCTAAAGCATAAACAGAGGGAGTGCAAGCAAGCACACACAGGGGCCCTCCATCCCGGCACCAGTGAGCGGGCAGCTCTGCCCCGTTCCCCTGCCCAGGGGTGCCATTGCTCCTCTCGCCCGGGGAACGCGAGCGGCCGCCCTCAGACAAGGCACTCCAGGCACATGCAGGTTTTCGTTCTGCAAACAGCAGCAGTACTGCAAAATAACACCGCTGAACTCCACAAAGTGTTGATGCAACACATTCCTCGGGGCGGTTTGTGGCAGAGAAGGAAAAACAACAGGAGAGCTGCGGCCGAGGCCCCCCTGCTGGCGCTGGG